GTATTCAATTATACATTAAGCGTAATATTGGTGTTGATATACTGTTGTAGTATTGAGTGCTGTATTAGTACTGCAATCGTATTGTATTTGTTGTGTTTGTGTCACACCTTTCAGTTGTACACACATTCACTCAAATGATTGTATTATTCATAAGTTATTCATAATTGTGATTAATATTAATATATTGTATGCACTCTATTGTATTGGTCAACAATTACCATAAGAAGTAGTGTCACTGAAATTATCAGTCAAATAAGCATTTGCTTCAACTGTGTGTCTAAACAGCAAACCATTATTACTACTGTTTATTATCTATTACTCACTCATCACTCAAACTAATCATACGCTTTGCTATTGATTTGCATTCAATTTAATGGTAATTATCTCAACTTAGACTACCATTCACTCTAATGTTGTGTCTAATTATCATTTTATTTATCAATTAATCCATCATTTGTTTGTTTGTTTTCATTCAACACAAAGATATGGTATTTGATTGAGTCGTTTGCCACAGAAGTGACACTTGAGAAGAGAAGAGATCACCCGAAGTGACCGTCGATTGCATAACCGATTGATACATTGTTTTTGATCGTCAGTGAAGTGCCACAGAAGTGATGCCACTGTTCGGCAAGTCGTCGAAGAGTCCGTACGAACTGATTAAGAGTTTGTCGGAGGCGTTGGTGGCTCTGGAGAGGGGCGACAAGAAGGCAGACAAGGCTCAGGAGGACGTGTCGAAGAATCTGGTGCTCATGAAGAACATGCTGTACGGCACGAACGACACGGAGCCGCAGACAGACATAGCGGTGGCTCAGTTGGCACAGGAGCTGTACAACTCGAACCTCCTGCTGCTGCTGATCAACAACTTGTCTCGCATTGAGTTTGAGGCCAAGAAGGACGTCGCGCAGGTGTTCAACAATATCCTCAGGCGTCAGATCGGCACCCGATCGCCGACCGTCGAGTACATGTGCACTAAACCCGAAATCCTGTTCACTCTGATGGACGGCTACGAGAAGCACGACATCGCTCTGAACTGCGGGTCAATGCTTCGCGAGTGCGCCCGATATGAGGCTTTGGCCAAAATAATGCTGCAATCGGACGACTACT